CTCTCTCTCTCTCTCTCTCTCTCTCTCTCCACTGATTACGTATTAGGTCTCAATTATCACCAAAGTAATAATAGCCTAATTAATAAGCTAAAAGCGATGAAAATAAGTTTGGTGATCGTTATAATGTTCATCATTTGTTGGCTTCCCATACAACTGTATAATGTGATCATTTGGTACAACCCTTTCCTAATTATACGAATCTTGAACTACAATATGGACGCATTCATCGCACTATTTTTTGTGTGTCACTGGATATCCAGCGCTCATTCATTTGGTATTATTGTTATTATAAATATTATTTTATCATTTTATTTTTATACAAAACACAAAATTTAACAATGTTTACTATTTTTTCATTTTAAAGTTAATCCTATAATATACGGCTTTATGAGCGATAACTTTCGAGTAAGTATTTTATTAAATATTATTATTATCTTATTATTGTATAAATTTTAAAAAATTCTTGTAGCATAAAGTTCTAGTTATACAATACTAAAAATACTGAATCAATACAATATTTTTAGTCTGTAATACAAATTATTAAATATACAACTATTTATAATATACAAAATATTACGGTGAATAAATTCTTGGTAATTGGGTTTTTGTATTTTTTTTATCAGAAAGATTTACATTATATTGTAATCCAAATTTTGACGCGGCTTTGGAGACGAAATGATAAACACAAAGAATATGTCAATAGAAATACATCTCTTATGACGACTACCGAAGAGACAAATGTGTAAAATAAATATTATTTGCCATTACTTTATGTAATATTTGTAAAAATATGTTTGTATTTTATGAATATGATTTTTAATATATTATCAAATTTTTATGGTATTATTACTAAAATATTAATACTGTATATAATAACACTTTATTTTAGTTGTATTTCCTAATTTAGCTGTATGTTAGTGTTATACAAGAATATTCTTGATAATGTTAAATAATTTATTCATATTGATAACAGTATAGGTATATGGTTTTGCTAAGAATTATATATTTATTTTACTATTAAAATATTAGATAATATAGTTTTAATAACTTGTTAAAATTAATTTTCAATTTACCAATGATATTATATAAAATTTAATGATGTATGTTTTGTTTAAAATAACACAATTATTATGTTAATTAATTGCTAAAAACATAATTAAGAATATTACGTTAACCTGTTTATATAAATTCTATATTTTAAATAGATTAGTTATGCTAAAATTATAAACAATTTTTTAACCAACAAACACAAATATTTATTGAATTAATTTTAATATTAAATTATTGTACATTACAGTAAAATGCATTAGAATCTTGGTTAATATTTTAGCAAGGAGTATTTTTGTAATATGAAATCACATATTTATAGACCATGTTATATGTATTAATATTTTGAATTTATAGCTATTTATAATCACAATAAACAAGTGTTTATATATTCAATAAATTTTATATGTAAATCAAACAATACAGTACATTTAACAAACATAAGTAAACTTTAGTAGTAGTAAATGTAATATTATAAACTAGATATTAATAAAATATAATTTATATACAATATATTGAAAATTAATATTAATATTAATAAATATATCAAATAAATGAAATATTATCAGTGAAATTCTTTTGACTAAAATCCCATTGACTTTTATGTTAATATTAATTTGAAGATGATACAAATAATTATGTTTATTAATAAACTACAGACATTGCTCATTAATTTTGTTGTTGATTACCATAAATCAATTATTGTATTTTATATCAAGTTTTTAATATATTTTTATACTGACATAAAAAAATATATTAAAATAATAATTTATATCATTTTAATAATAATAGAGTAGACAATTGAAGTGTATTATTAATTAATTGGCTGCTGGTCTATGAGTTGCTGTTTGTCTGTATCATAAATACCATAAAACAGTGATTTACCACATTTATTGCATACCTTTTAAAATGAGTTATACAAATAAAATAAGTTGTATAAATAACTATTAATAAATTGCATAATTTTCATACAAGAACGTGTCATGGATAATTTATTACAATAAACATTTATTTGAATAATTAATATTAAATATTTACTTAACATATTGATACTTTCATAATAAATTAACTTAATGCATCATATTTCATGGTAAACCTAATTAACATATTTATTTGTTTTAGACATTTCTTATGTCAAATATTTTGTTTGCAATGAATTACATAAATATAAGTTTATTTTTTAAAATAATTATATAATGCAATAATTTAAATTAATATTTATCAATGTATAAAATATACATGTAAATATCTCTAGAATAAATTAAGCTATATTTACACATAATTTTAATGACAATAGCACAAGAATAAAAAATAAATGTAAATTCATTTAAAAACTTGTAAATCTTAAAAACCTATTTGAAATTTACCTTTTGTTATACTACATTATAATAATCGCTTTATATTTAGTAACATTTCACTGAAAATTGTTTTTTTATTGGCTATAGAGACACACTTTGAGTGCACTTTATATTCACTCAAAATGACATTTATATAATTTAATTTATTTTTTAAAATTAAAAAGGTCATTTTAGTGCACTTTATTTAAAATTATTTGCATTTTTTATTATAATCTTTATTTTATGATTGATTAAAACAAATATAAACGGATTAGAATATTTTTGTACAATTTAATCAGTGTAATTAAATAAACAATTCAAATAAAAAACAAACGAGGTAACACTGTTCTCACTTTTACGTCAAATATGTCTCGAGTGGCCATAGAGTGCAAGTCATTCACCGGTTTGATAAACAAATGACACTATTTTTTCATCAAATAATGTTAGGGGTGAAGGTTTTTAATGGAAACACATTTATCTATCACTAAAACATTTTAGGTAAACATTAGACTAGCAACTTTTCGTATTCTTCCATTCCCTTCTTTTACCAGAATCATTTTACCAAAAAATATCTTTTACCAACACTATTAGCAATCATCTAGAACTTATTTTGCTACTACTTTATTGGTTTGAATTAATAGATTTGAGTGATAGACAATATTATACTAAATGTAAGGCATCACTTAAATACCTATTATTTCCTATACTATTACAGATTCTCTATAAATAACACAATTAATGTCAATCTAATTATAACTACATTTTCAATACACAATTGGAATCTATTTATTTTGCATCTTAAAATAACTCCAATATAAGGTTTCTTAATTATCATGAACACAATGTGTTGCAATGCATGAAATATTGATAACATTTATTATATTTTGTGTAATTTATTAATTATTACAAAATAAAATATTTAAATTTAAAATAAAGAAAAATTAATCAATTTTTATTTTTTTCATCAAAACGTTACAATACATTCAATGGTATTATTAATATTAATGAACAAAACACTGTACTTTAAATGTAATAAATATAACACAATTTTGATATATTCAACAAATTATTGTCTAATTATTTAATTACAACTATTTTATAATAAATATATTATTATTATTTAAATGAATACATTTGAACAATGATTCGTTCTCACAAAATGATAACTTTATTATAAAGCCAGCGGTAAAATATAGTTATTAATTAAATAACTAAAATAGCTAATCAACGTGATTGTTTAGTTAAAATAAATAACACTAAATGACATTATTATTTCATTATAAGTTTAACGTCAAATGAGTCTCTCTGACCGGTTGTCCGCCCATTATCTCACTCCCCGTCACAACAGTATTGCAATGGTTTGTCATAAATGCTGTAATCGTCGGACTTCTTGAATCTGATACCACTTTTGTGGTCAACAAAATTCATGGCCTTATTCTTGATGTCTTTGACGTGAGGCATACTATACGCCAATCGTATTAATTTGTCCACATATGAGATGTCGTCCATTGCCGGCCCGTTTGGAGATTCTGGCACATAATCAACAATGTTCATGATTGTTTTTCATGTCAAGTTTTATATAAAGTATTTAAATGTTTAAGTTCCAAGCTGATATTAAAAGCCTTATTGTTGTATTTAAGCAGTAGGGTAATTAATTAAGATAATTGACTTATTTTATAAATTATATGATTACTTTTAATTAAACAAATATTTCAGAAATTATAGCATAATTTACATATTTGTAAATAAATATAATGGCTATGAGTTATATATGAAATTGAACATCTTTATAACACCTTAAATTAAATTAAATTTAGTATAAAGCTTATGACTAATTGAAATTTAACACAGACATGTTAGTTGTATAAGTTATTAAGTACCATAACTTTAATTGTGTATTCTTTATTAAGATTCTTTAAATGGCAATCAATTTTAGTTTTATCTATTTTATCAAAATACATTTTTATTAAATCTATTTTTTATTGAAACTATCTGTTTGTTGTCTTACATACAGGATTTGTATCTAAAAATACAATTGACATTAAATTTTAAACTAAAGTCCAAAATTAAAATATCTTATATTACAGGAGATATTTTTATAAATTAATTTGTTATTTAATTTACTTAATTGATGTATTATTTCTAAATTTAATTTATAACAATGTTATGCAATCGAAAACAATAGTTGAATACAAACCCCTATTATATCGTCTTTCCATTAATCTTCTGATTGGGACTAATTTGGAGAACGGATTCCTCGGATGGCTTTCCTCTGACAACACATTACCACTACTTCTGTCCATTAAAACGGCGCTCACATACCAGACATACACTAATATAACAACACATGATAGATATTTGCCAAACATTTTGAACAACACGTTAAAAATATAGACCAATATCTATTAGAATAATTGAAACTTTTGTTAAATTTTACAATTATTAATGGTTTTAAGAATATTATTGATAATAACGACAATAACTGTAAAGACGTTTATAAGACTGAACTGAAAAGACAATACTGTTTATAACATATTCATAGAAATAATGCGAAAACAAATTGAATGCACAGAAAAACTCTTTCTTTTGGATCTGATTTATGGCTTAAATCCTAAAAAACTGCACGAAATGAAAGGTTTCTCTCATTTTATAGCCAAAAATTTCTCTTTTTGCTTATTTTTTGCTCATTTTGTTTTCAGTGTGTATTTTGTTTGTTGTTTGATTGGAGTTCATAATAAATTCAATTACATCTCCATTTGTCGCGGATTTGCTAGATTTTCTCTCTCTCTCTCTCTCTCTCTCTCTCTCTCTCCATAATCAGAGACAATATTTTCATCTCTCTCTTTGGGTAAACTTTTTTATATCTCTCTCCCATTTCTGGCATTCAGTCCTAATTACTGGCATAAAAAAAGACTTTTTGACTTTCGCCGACTTTTTTGCTGTTTAAAAATTTAATAGATTTTAATAGATTTTCTTTGTATTTAGTTATGGAAAGGCATATAAAATATTTAAATACTATTTTTTATGCTTTCTCTCTCCGATCGTAAGCCGAATCTCCACTAATTCTTTTATGTCTTACAAATCAAATAGATTTTCATAAGAATTAATTTGTATTTTATATGAATTTTTACGTCTATTTATGTTTTCTTTAAAAAAATAAATATGAAATGTATTTTATTTTTATGCATTTTAAAAGATTGTTATTTTGAATCAATTCTTTTAAAAATGACATTTCTGTAACTTTTTTTGCTTCTAATTCATAAAATAATATTAGCATTCAAATGAAATTGAATGAAAATTTTATTTAATTTATCAAAATTTTTCTTTTGTATAAATGCGTAAAATTTTTAGAAATAAGAAATTTTTTAATATTACTTGAAAATTATTTTCTACGAAAGGTTGGAACAAAAACTTTATCAAAAGTATAAATATAGTACTATTAACATACTGTATATTGTATATTAATAGTAATTTCAAATTAAAAAACAATTATTTTAATTGATATTAAATAATAATGCTAAAAAAATTTGATTTATAAGTGCTGGAAAAATGAAAATGCGTTTATTGGGTGAAACTAAAAATTGTTTTATACTTAAAGTACTTAACTTTAAGCAAAGGTGTAATTGTCATAGTAATCATTAGCTATCACTCAATATATGACCAAAATTTTAATTTTCTATTCAATGAATTCAATTGATTTTTAGGCATTAAACAAATATACC